CAGAAGGGGCCTTTGCTCTCACAATGATTGCAGTTTGGTTGGTGAACAGATATAAACTCAAATGAAAAGCAGTGTGGAAAGGTGGAAAGTGCTATCTAGGCTGGCCTCGGCCCTGGGTCTTGACCCTGTAGACGGAGGAGCATGTGTGAAGGCACAGGGGCAGGAAAGTTTCCCTGAAATGCCTGGAACTTTTCTTTAGAAACCTCAAAATCCCCATTATCCACATAGCTCTCTAGAAGCTGTTAGGCTGGGCATGTCACTGGTGTAGGAGTACTGTTCCCCCAGGTCTCCACGCTACAGGGAAAGCCCCCGAGGGCACACAAGACTATTCTAGTTAAGAGAGTGTGGTGCTTTGCTGTCTGCTGGACTGTGCTCAGTGAGAAACAATGAGATAAGAAACGGGTAGGAAATGTATCCCCTCGTGCTCTTGGTTCATTTGGCTCATGGTGGTTCTTTTTCATTCAACAAATATTAATTGGGTGCCTCCTGTATGCCAGGCTCTGTTTCAGAGGCTTGGGTTATGTCAGTGAATAAAGCCAAGGCCTCTGTCTTGGAGGCACTTACGTTCTTGTGGGGAATGTGAAGCCATCTAAGCTCCCTGAGGCAGGGATGGTGTCCCCTGCTCAGTAGTGTGTCCTCAGGGACCACCCTGGCCCCTGCTGGGAAACAGTGCTCAGTAATTGTGGAAGTAACCTCCTGCTTCAGTGTTTCAGGAGTGCTGGTTGGTGGGAAGAAAACAGGGATGGTGTCCCCTGCTCAGCAGTGTGTCCTCAGGGACCACCCTGGTCCCTGCTGGGAAACAGTGCTCAGTAATTGTGGAAGTAACCTCCTGCTTCAGTGTTTCAGGAGTGCTGGTTGGTGGGAAGAAAACATGGAGAAAGGCAGACGATTTCTTTGCTCTTTGAGATCTACTGGGTTGACTTATTGTGTTTGATCTTTAGTTATAAAATTCTCAGCCACCGAACAGAAAAAAATATTGAATAGACTCTAGCAGGCCACCTTTTCCTCGTTACCCAGGAAATGGACCCTGTCTTTTATTCATATCACTACTTTGAGTTTGCACGACAATGACAGGTGATATTGAATTTAAGTGTATTGGTGCCTGGGTCAGATTTTGAGGTCTGAAGCTAATTTGGAAGGACAAGTTAAAGGGAAGAATTGTCTTTTCCCACCCTACTCCCTAGAAATAAAAGGAGAAATAACCACACAACAAAAATGTATTGAGCTTGTTATTGAAGTAGCCACTCATGACAAGCTGAAATGATTCTCATGTCCCCAAGTTTCTCTAGCCTTGGTTTTCCATTTTGATTTTGGAGCTCTGGCTTTCTTCCCATTTACATTTCCTCCTTGGTTTGATTACAGAGGGACAGATGGCATTTGTCGAGAATGTGGTTCAGAGTCATAGAACAGGACGAAACCAGGTGCAGTGAGTTTGTACGTTAGAATGTACATTTCAGAGCCTGGAAAGATGCTGCCACGGGGCCCAAGGGGGAACCGGAGCCCATCGCCAGGATAGAGGGTCGAGAGGGAGGGTCGAATGCTGGTAAGTCAGCAGACAAGCCCTGGAAGGAGGTTCAGCAGGAGGAGGATAAAACCAGATGGAAAAGATAGGAGAGAAGAAAAGATAGAAGTAGGTCAAGGGAAGAGTAGACTGTGTCCCCATGAAAAGTGGTAGGCTTTCCTGCCAATGGGAAAACAAGGATCTGAATGAGAGCAAGGCTGTGGGACTCTGGCCTGAGCTCTCCATAATGGGCTGAGGACAGTGATGTTGGTGAGTGAAAGCAGAGCTTTGCCTGTCAGGCGGAATGAGCAGCTGGCACTCCGGGGACTGCAGGCCCTTTCCTCCTTGGGCCCAGCCGAGCTGTTGGGAACCATTCCACGTGGAAGGAAATGCACCCAGCTCAGGAAGCTTGTGAAGCAAAGTGCAGGAGATGAACCCCAAGTTCTGACAGCTTGCCAGAGTGCCCGCTGCGCGAATGCTGGCAGGAACATTTGTTTTGAGAATAGTTTAACCATAATGAATTCTGACATCATTGCACTTTCTCAGACAAGGGTGTTGAAATGGAATACATGACCTAATGTCAGGGGTCTGTGGAAACCCTCAAAACAGGGAGATTGGGAGATTCCTTGGCTCTCTTATCTTCATTTTGAAGTGGAGTTTTAAGCAACAGTTCCTTCTTAGATACTTAATTGATCTCAACATTTTAAGAATTAACTAACAGTTCGGAGATATGAAGGCAATCGTGTGGGTTTTGTTTGCCTCTCTCAAATTGGGTTATCTCATAGCATTTGGAATATAATTCTTGCAAGTTAACTTCCTTTTATTTTTTGTTCTGATTATCCATGTACTTGAACATTTTTATTTTTCTGCTCTCATGGCAACAGTGGAAGCGATCAGTTGAATACAATTATATGATTTCAACATGTGTGGATGACAGGATTTCCTGAGAATTGTGTTTTTGCATTTGGGCACTTTAAGATGTGCCTGTTTCACCTCTTCTTGCTGTCCGATTGATCTGTGGGGGGGGTGGGGACCCTTCTGGGTGCCAGAGTCATTGCAGTGGGCTGTAGCTTCAGGCCTTCTCAGCTCTGTGGTTACTGTGGCTTCTTTGTTTACAAGCAGATTCTTCCCAGCTTGAGGAAGATTTTGCTTCTGAATCTTAAACTCTCTCCAGGAATAAACTGGAAACAGTTTGAGAAAAACTTGTATTTGCTTCAAAGGCTTAATTGGGAATACGCACCCAGTGGCTGGTATTGCCCCATCCTGCCTGGCCTCCTTCGGGGCGGAGACTTCCTCTGTTCCTCCACCAGAGGGCCTCGGTCCTGCGCGGGAGAAACCCTCTTGCATCTTAACAGGGGAATTGAATTTCTCTATCCGTCATCGATCTCTTTTGGCAGCCCAGGGCATTACCTGCATTCACTGGACTTCTTCCCCTGGGCCAACGGATTTTCTTTCCAGTTTTGGACGAGTAATGAGTATTTCATTAGCTGTCATCACTGGGACACACAGAATTTATGTTATGAATATATGAAGTAATTTGCATATTAATGATGCAAAACATAGACCTGAACTCTTGGATTCATATTTTGTTCCTTCCTCTAGAGTTACACTTCTGTTTTGGAGCTTATGTGTACCCAGGAAGGTAACAGAGTAGGGTAGAAAGCTCCCAGCTCACTGTCTCTCTCACGGGGCCTGTGAGCTTGAGCAAGCCCTTCACTTCTGTGTCATAATGGACCGGATTCTGTTGGATCATTTATAGCTGGAAAATTCTGTGCTTCTGTAACTGTCTAAGTAGCTCATTCTGTTTCCTAGGACACTGGAAACATTCTCAATGACCAGTTCCTATTTGTAGGCTTCCCTGGCTTGCAATATTTAGGTTTGATACTGCTTATTCCAGGCCTGATTTCTACCTGGTGAATCAGCCCCTTCCACCAGGGTCTCCACTTGTGTTGCCTCAGTCACAGCTTATTTCATACAATTCAAAGTACCATCCCTTCTGTACCCAGTAGGATGAATCCGTGATTCTGGAACAAAGTTAGACTACCATATTCATTCCCATCCTTTGTTTAGCTGTAGCTATTTCCTTCCCTCCATGTTACTTAAGAGAACTGAGCTTCAGTCCAAAGCAAATGTACTTTGTTGCCTGTGAACATGGATCCCATAAAAGCAAATGAAGGAGAAAGCAGAGTAGATTGCATGTCCCAGGGCCTGTTACCTAATCTTTATTCACGTCTCTGTTCGATTTCCTTTAGTGCTGCTTGGCGTCCTGAGCACAGCTTCTCTTTTTATGCCACCATCAAGCTTCTGATCTGATACCATCTGATATGTGGGGGTGAGAGGACTATGGGAATATTTATGTACCTATGCCAGTAAACCATTATCTTAAAGTTCTGGGGCCATTCTTGTGCATGAGAGCCCTGGGATGTCATGTAGGTATAAGATGCGAATTAATAGCCCTCATGAGTGCTTGTAACTTACAGAACCCACATTCAGGTTTGATTTAATACCTTTGCGTGATTCAAAATGTCATCCAAGAAGAGAGCCAAATACCTAGAGCATCTGCCACGGCCTGCAGAGGCTGGCTGACACGTTTGCACTGGCTGACCCGCGCTGTGGCTTTTTGGAAAGATGAGATATGTTCTAATGAGCAGGTTATAAATATCGCCGAGTTATGTCATAGGTGGTGGCAGCGCTTAATGTAAAGGGACCGGCTGGGGAGCGTTCCCAGCTCAACAGGCTGGATGCAGCTTTCAGAGAGGACAAGTGGGGCTTGAAAATATTGACCAGGATGTTACAAAGTAATTATTTGTCTCTTAATGAAACATGTCACCAAATGTGTCCCTGTGGGGTATGAGTGGCAGTGAGATGAGGTGTGCTGTGCTCACACTCAGGGAGCTTGGTTCCAGTTGTCACATACTCGCTCTCAGAAGGGGCCTCTCACCCTTTTGCTTCTTTTTGTCAGTGTGGGGTTTGGAGGAGGGTTGGTTTGATGAATTTACCGGGTTTGGTAAGTTTATGTTCTCAAAGATGCAGAGTGGTTGCTTGGTGGAGTTCCTGTTTTCTCGTGCCTTTCATCTTCATATTTTATCCTTACCCATGGTGCACACAGTGCCTTGCTCATATTCCGGTGCGCTTTTGCCCAGTGTTGTCTCCCACCTTTTAAATGAAAATATAGATTTCAGTCCCACTCTACAGAGCCATTGAGAGTTTGAACACAGACTCTTCTAAGGTATCTTGCTTTTTAATTTGTTGGCCTCAACTGATTTTCAAATTGTTATTTTTTAGAGAAAATGTGCTAGGGGTTAGAAAACTCAAAAGGCCATCAATCTTAGGTCAAATGTTTCATTTAACCAAAGATGGCTAGACACGTGCAGAGTAATCGTTTGCTTAAAATCTAGCCAACAGCTTTTATGCAGACAAAATGCACTGAAACGTGCATGTAACGCATTTGATATTAATACATGCCAGATGAAAACCGTCCAATTCTGTGTCCACACAGGAACTTGACAAGAGGAGTCGGAAGGTTTAGAGAGCTGCTCAGAGCAGTTGAAACGAGAACAACTCAAAACCTGCGAATGGTAAGTGTGACCAGTGACTTGATTGAGGCCAGCAGGCACTTGTCTCATAGGTATTTACATTCATATTTTTTTACATTTAAGTATTATAAATATATGTGACATATATTTATAATAAATATATGGAACAAAGTTAGACTACCATATTCATGCCCATCCTTTGTTTAACTGTAGCTATATTTATTTTTATAATAAATATATGTCACATATATTTAAATATTTATTGTAAGTATATGTCACTGGGCTTATGAATTTGAGCAAGCTCTTTCACTTCTGTGTCATAATGGATATTTATGTGACATATTTATAATATATAAGTATAATATATAAATATATGTAATATATAATATAAATTTATAATATATAAATAGCAGTTTACTCATTTAAAGTTTTTAGCATATTCACAGAATTATCCAGCTATCACTAATATTTAATTTCAGGACATCTTAATCACCCCCAAAAGAAACTCTATACTCATTAGTAGTCAATCCCCATTTTCCCCTCCCCCTAGTCCCTGGCAACCACTAATTTACTTTCTGTTTCTATGGATTTGCCTATTTGGGGCATTTCCTATAACTGGAATGATACAATTTGTGGTTTTGTTTTTTTGTTTTGAGATAGAGTCTCGCTCTGTTACCCAGGCTGGAGTGCAATGGCACAATCTTGGCTCATTGCATCCTGCCCCAGCCTCCGAGTAGCTAGGACTACAGGTGCACATCACCACACCCGACTAATTTGTACTCTTTTTGTGACTGACTTTCTTTACTTAGCATAATGCTTTCAAGGTTCCTCTGGGTCACAGCGTGATCAATATTTCTTTCCTTTTTATTGCCAAATAATATTCTGTTGAATGGATGTATCACATTTTATTTGTCCGTTCATCAGCTGATGGACATTGGGTTGTTTCTACTTTGGGGCAATTACAAGTAACGCTGCTATGAACATTCATGTACAAGTTTTCGTGTGGACATATGTGTTCTTTCTCTTGGCTGTATACTTAGAAGTGGAATTGCTGGGTCATATGGTAACTGTTTAACAATTTGAGGTGCTGCCAGACTGTTTTCCAAAGCAGCTGTACCATATTACATTCCCACCAGCAGTTATGAGGGTTCCAATTTCTCCACACCCTCACCAACAGTTGTTATTATCTTTTTAGGTGTAACCATCCTGGTGGGAATGCAGTGATATTCCATTGTGGTTTGATTGGCACTTCCCTGTTGGCTAATGATTTTGAGCATCCTTTCCTGTGTTGTTGGCAGCATTCTCTGCTGAAACCTGAGAATTGCACCTGTTAAGGCAGGTAGAATGTAGGCCCTCATGGCTGCCAGGGTGTTGAGGGGTTGGTGTATGCTTATGATTCATACCAAACCCAGACAGAATAAGACACATTGGATCCTGAGGGCTGCTAGTAGTTTGGCTAATTGTATTAACTATAAAACTTGGAAGAGAAATATACAACATAGTTAAATTAACTGTTTGGTTAGCAATTTGGCTCTCCTGTTGACTTGAATTCTTTCTTTGCCTTTTTAATCCTTTCACTTTCCTATCTAGGGACGTTCATTAGGTAGACCTCTACAACTTGCCCTATATAACCATAGCCAGTGAGTGCTTGAGTGGAGGACTGGTGCTTATGAAAAACTAAGCAAATGCCACATGTCACAGTTGATGTAGCAACCTCATGGAAGGTTGCAGTTTATCTTTTGTCACCCATACTTTTGTCCTTTCTTTATCATGAATCCTTTAAATGCTGTGGGAGAGTATTCAGTTGGGCAAGGCTAAGAGATTCATGTCATAGGAAATGACTTCATTGTGGTGTCTCCAGAGTTTTAAGATGTAGACATACAACTCATGGGGCCAGATGGCCAAGCTGGGCTTTCCTAGAATTATGGGGGTGAGACAGGATGGGCAACTTCACACACACACACACACACACACACACACACACCCTGTCATCACCACCACCAAGAGCTCAGTTGCCTTCAAAATTTACTTATATATCTATGTGATTTATAAGTGCCTTAAGAAGTTCAAACAAAATATTTCCATTTTTAGGGTTCTTCAAGGCAAAAGAACTTACAAAAATGTTGTCTTTTCTCTCAAATTTACCTCCTCTCAGTATTTCATAAAACTTCCCAACTGATCAATATGAACAGGTTCTTCCAAGATTTGGAAGCATGATGAAAGTAACTGACTGAATTGGCAAGTGTTTTCACAATTGTTTTAAAAGCGCATTTAAAAAGTCAGTCTTTCAAAATTGCTTAAGTATAGAGCATTTGTTCATATTGTCGACTCTCACTGGTTTCTTGATTTGATTTACATTGGACATTAGAAAGTTTCTCCTGCTAATGACATTCATAAGCAGTGTTTCCATCAGCCTTAATAACTATGATATTTTTAGATTAGCTGATAATTGCAAATTTATAATATTCTTATGAGGTAGAAAAGTTGCTTTGTAAACTATCTGGTGTGAGATCATAGCAGAGAAGGATTTTAAAGTATGTTTTCAAGAGTTCCACTCTTAGATATATACTCCAAATATTAAAAACAGGTGTTCTGCAGTGAGCTATGTGTGATTGCACCACTGCACTCCAGCCTGGGTGACAGCCTGAGACCCTGTTTCAAAACAAACAACACAGGCGTTCAAACAAAAACTTGTACATGGATGCTCATAGCAGCACCATTTATGATAGCCAAAAGGTGGAAGCAATCCACATGTCTAGAACTGATGAATGGATAAGCAACATGTGGTATATCCATGCAATGGAATATCATTCAGCCATAAAAAAGAATGAAGTATTGATACATACACAACGATATGGATGAACCTTGAAAACTTTATGCTAAGTAACAGAAGCTGGTTGCAAAAAGACCCATATCACATACTTTAATTCGTATAAGATGACCAAAATAGGCAAATCCATGGAGCCAGAAAGCATATTGGTTGTTCCCAGAGTCTGAGAGGGAGGGGAAGTGGGGAGTGATTGCCTAAAGGATATAGGGTTTCCTTCTGGGGTGATGTTCTGGAATGTTCTGGAACTAGATAGTGCTAATGGTTGCACAACATTGTGAGTGTCCCGAATGCCATTGGATCGTGCACTTTAAAGAAATAAAATGGTGACTTTTATGTTATGTGAATTTCACCACAAGTTTTAAAACACATACACACACACACACACACACACACACACACACACACACACAAAAAGGGCATTTCATGACCAAATTTGTACATAAACATCCAGGTCTTATTTCAGGCCCACTTCCCACCTTTCTCTCCTTTGATTCTGAATTTATTTTATAGTTACCAACAATTTGATGCATTTAAACTACAGGCTAAATGTAGGTTGAGTGTAAAAAGTATGCTAGATATTGGTGATCTTGCTGGTAATCTCATATTTATTGTTTTTTTCTGAACTTCATTTGAGCTTTCAGTGGACATAACCAAATGGCCGTCTTAATAGGTAGAGCACTGATGAAGCGATGTCTTTAAAATATGCAATCACATCAAAACCCCATTAAAAAAAAATCTCTCAGGAAGGTTAATACCCTGAGGGGAAATGAGACCTAGCATGAGCTATCTAGTAGTGAACAAGCAAACTGTTTAGGGCAGAAATTTTTACAACTTTAAAATCCCTCCATGGCAAATATATTCAGAAAATGAAATTCCTTGTTCATTTTTTTTTTCTTTTAACATTTATTTCTCAGCTGTAGTGAGTGGAAGTTATTTTTGCCAGTTGAAGTTTCCAGCAAAAGTCATTAGCTTATATGACTGCAATGAGATCAAAATGAAACTATAATGGAAGGCTTAAGAAAACAGTTCAGGAGTTGTTTAGGTCCTGAAAATTGTGTTCTTATGAGATCTTTACAGATTGCTCAGTTGGGGATGATCAGAGTGCATTTAATTTCACATTTTTATAGACATTTAATGCCAGTGGGTCTTACTTGGGAATGATAAAGAAAGTTTGCATTTACCCAGTGGTTATCAGAAACCACTCTGTTAGTGATTTGGTTGGATTTAACTTTCCTTGTGGTGTTTTAAGAGATTTCATATGGATGAAAGCTTAGCAAAGCCCTCTTCTGAAACATTTGCTTATTTTTTAAAAAAAGGCTCCTTCTCAGAAGATCAGCAGTCTTTGTCTGCATCTTCAAAGGATGCTGAAACCTGGTGGAAAACCATGCTGGGTTCTGGTGCCTCCTCTGGCTGACCATGGGTAGAGTGAACTACCCTGGGATGCAGTGCTTCTCTTTTCAGAGGAATTTTTAAAAATTACTTATCCTCTTCTTTGTTACTGGAAGATTATAAGCTAAGTGAACTGACATGCATCAGTCAACAAAACACTTCTTAGTACATACCATGCATTCTTTCCCCCCATACATTATATTATACATGGTACTGTTTTAGGCAGTGGAGTTACAGAAGTTTGGGAAAGCTTATTAATCTGCATCTAACTTGGAGAACAGGATCCAGATGTTTCTGGGTTTTCACTGTGCAGAATGGGATACCCATCCAGCTTTGAAGAAAGGTCTTTCTTGATCGGAACCATGTTCCCACTTTGCCTTCCCTATTGCACAAGGCAGGTGAGAATCTCCGGGCCAGGAGCCCAGGATGTGCTGAGAATAGACACTCAGGTGCTGAGTCCTTGGAGGTGGGACGTACAGGGCCTGCCATTGGTACATTTAAGAAAGAAGATGTCTACAGTAGACACTGGATTTTCAGTGAGGATAATTTTTTCAGGGATAGCATTATCTAAGCTGAGTACAAGCTTTTTGCCAGGTTTGAGGTTTAGCACACATCATTAGTGATGCTAATATCTGCAGCTCACCTGTTATTTATAAGAGCTCTTGGGAAAGGGCTTAGCCAAAAGTTTCAGTTGTTTCAGGTATAAAATATGTGTAGTATTCCAGAGTGTGACTGATGGGGCAGCATTTGAAGTACATGAACCTTTTTTTTTAAGTGTTCAAACATCTTAGTGAATCATGTTTTCTTTTCTTGTCATAAACTGGTACAATTACCATCGTAAAAGAAAAAATTTTAATTATGAGCCTTGCAGTAGTGCTTAGCACAATGTGATGATATAAATATTTATTGACTGACTGAATGAATGACTAATACAAAATAGATTCATGGCTGTGCTTTTCCTCGTTTATGTTCCCAGACAATAGCCAGGCAGCTGGCAGAGATCTTGTTGCGGGGTATGTGTGAGCAGAGCTACTGGAACCCTCTGGAGGATCCACCATGCCAGTCACCTCTGGACGATCCTCTCCGCAAAGGAGCAAACACAAAAACCTACACTCTCACTCGGAGAGCCCGTGTCTACTCAGGAGAGAAGTATGAAAGCTGATGTCCTCACTTGTAGGCTATGGGATGGGAGGGAAACTTGGGAAAATTCAAGGATGATGAGAAGTAGAAGAGTAGATTTTTTCCCTAAAAGAAAATCAAATGAACAAGTCTCGTTTTCCAGTTTAGTAGAGATTCCTCATTACTTTTTATATCTTCAGCAAGTATCTGTGCACTACCAGGGACATTTTAAGTAGGAGAAAGTTCTCATCTCAGTGCTTGGGTGCCATTTGCAGCCATCACTATTGGTTTTTGGAATTTTCATTCCATTTATTATAAGACCTCAGCATCAGACAGCAATCAGAAATAAAGCTATCTGCAAGCCATCTAACATCTAACATCAGTCTCACCCTTCTAACATTTCTTCAGCAATTCCTTGATCCTTTTGCTTAAAATCTTGTTCTAAATGGAACTAGATGTAAGAAGAAGAATCTAATATTTTCAAGTGATTGGAAGGTGATGTCTCTTTAGAACTTCTTTATCTTTTTTAAGTTTTATATTTGAGACTTGATCACCTTGGAGGAAAATGGGTCAGAGTGTCACTACAGTCTTAGCATGAGCCTTCCCCAGGCCAGAGGAAGCCAGACAGAGGAGGGAGAGACAAGGAGAAGGGCTGGGAGGCCGGAATGGTTGTTGACTCATTCTCAATGCCTCCCATTCGAGTCTTGAATTCCCATCTTTGCCTGCTCTTTTACATTTTTTAATTTTTAAAATTTTTTTTTTTTTGAGATGGAGTCTCGCTGTGTTGCCCATGCTGGAGTGCAGTGGTGCAATCTGCAACCTCCACCTCCCAGGTTCAAGTGATTCTCCTGCCTCAGCCTCCCAAGTAGCTGAGATTACAGGCACACACCACCACACATGGCTATTTTTTTTTTTTTTTTTTTTTTTGAGACAGAGCCTCACTCTGTCACCAGGCTGGAGTACAGTGGTGTGATCTTGGCTCACTACAACTTCCACTTCCTGGGTTCAAGTGATTCCCCTGCCTCAGCCTCCCAAGTAGCTGGAACTACAGGTGCATGCCAACATGCCTGCCTAATTTTTTGTATTTTAGTAGAGATGGGATTTTACCATGTTGGCCAGTATGGTCTCGATCTCCTGACCTTGTGATCTGCCTGCCTTGGCCTCCCAAGGTGCTGGGATTACAGGTGTGAGCCACCATGCTGGGACAATTTTTGCATTTTTTTGGTAGAGACAGGGTTTCACTATGTTGGCCAGGCTGGTCTTGAACTCCTGACCTCAGGTGATCCGCCCACTTTGGCCTTCCAAAGTGTTGGGATTACAGGCATGAGCCACCACCCTGGCCTTTGCCTGTTCTTATAAGGACAAGACATGTTGGCTTTTCAGAATCTCTGTGTGAAGGAAAGGGGAACACACATGAATAAATATTGAAGACCTTTTCCATGTTTTCAAATTAGAAAAACAGCTGAGATGATGAGGTGGCAGCTTCTGAAGTCCCAGAGAAAGCACTAATAGAGATGGCATGACTAGACACTTTCTCCATCTGAAGATCAAGATTTCAAACATCTGAAAATAATTGTTGTACTTTCAGAGGAGTTGGCATTTCTTCAAGGTTGCCATCTCTTAATAATCCTGTTGACCCTTGCATTTCTGTCTCTCGTCACCTTCTTGTTCAAGTTTGTGTTTCTTACATGGATTCAGATGAGTTCGCGTATTCTTAACTTTTTCCCTAGGCTTATCTTAATTTAGTTTTCATCCCCCTTTTCTACAGCCTTGTTGAACCATGTGAGTTTGCTTAATTCACAATCTGTGTTTACTCTTTAGTCCTTATCTGGATTCATAAAATATCTGTTCTAGCAATTTTTGATACTCTTATTTTTAAAATGCTGACCCCTCATTATTAACTATTTAGAAGTAGGTTTGGGGTTCATTTTTAAGTGATATTTATATCATAAAAATAGACTCTAGAGTTTTCCCCTGCTTTAGACGCTTCTTAATAACCAAGGTGCCAAGGGCATTAAGGACCTCCTTTCTCACCCTCTTCCCCCAGTCCAGTTTGACACATGGCTGGAACTCTGTGTCTCTTTGGGTGCCATCCAGTATGGCCTCACCCCTTGAAGGCAGAGAAGCTCACAGTGCTGGCCATTTCTCCATTTCCTGAACCCCTCAGATTTTGTCGCTTTTCTAATGTCACCTTTCCCATGTGTACAAAGAGAATTATAGAAGCAAAATGCAGCTCCAGGAAATGCAGTCATTAAAGGGAGCATTCCTATAGTAGCACTGGCTACTGAGTCACAAGTTTCAGTTCACACGTGTCAGCTTTTTAAAAAATTGTTTTTTGAGACATAATTCACATATTATACAATTCGTCCATTGAAAGTGTGCGATTCAGTGGCTTTTAATATACTTGCATAGTTGTGCATCCATCGCCATGACTGGAACATTTTTATTACCCCCAAAATAAACCCAGCACCTCTTAGCTGTCACCCTCCTGTCTCCCAAGCCCCTGAATTTCCATATGAATTTTAGAATTACCTTGTCCATTTCTGGAAAAAAAAAAAAAAAAGGCAGCTGGGATTTTAATAGGAATTGCATTGAATTTGTAGATCAATTTGAGGAATATTTCCATATTAAAAACATTAAGTCTTCTGATCCATGAACATGAGATATCTTTCCATCTATTTAGGTTGTCTTTAATTTTTTTAAACAATGATTTGTATTTTTCAGGATATAAAGCTTGTATTTCTTTGGTTACGCCTATTCCTAAATGTGTGTGTGTGCATGCAAACGTGTGCTATTCTTTTTGATGCTCTTATAAATACAGTTGTTTTCTTAATTTCATTTTTGGATTGTTCATTGCAAATATATGGAAATACAACAGATTTTGTAAATTGATCTTGTATACTGTAACCTTGCTGAATTTGTTTATTGGTCCTAATAGTTTTTTTGAATTCCTTACAATTTTCTACATCAAGATTGTGTCATCTATTAATACTAATATAGATGGTTTTATTTTTTCCTTTCTAACCTAGATGCATTTTATTTTATTTTTTTTCTTAATTGCCCTGGCTAGAACTTCCAGTACAATGTTGAATAGAAGTGGCAAGCATGGACGTCCTTATCTCATTCCTGATCTCAGGCAGGGGAAATTATCTAGTCTTTTACAGAGTATGTTGTTTTCTATGGGCTTTTGTAGATGCCCTTTATCAGGTTAAGAAAAGGGCTTCCTATTTCTAGTTTGTTATTTTTATTATTAATGGGTGTTGAATTTTGTCAACTGCTTTTTCTGCATCAATTGAAATGATAATGTGGGTTTTGTCCTTTATTCTAATGCTGTGGTGTATCACATTAATTTATTTTCACACATTAAGCCAACCTGCATCCCTGTCCAAGTCATGGTGTATGCTCCTTTTTATTATTGCTGGGTTCTATTTGCTGATATTTTGTTAAAGATTTTTACATCTATATTTATAAAAGATACTATTCTGCAGTTTTCTTATGATGTTTTTGTCTGGTTTTGGTATTAAAGTAATATTGGCCTCATAAAATGAGTTGGAGACTATTCCCTCCTCTTCTTTTTGAAAGAGTTTGTGGAGAATTGGTATTAATCCTTTAAATATTTGGTAGACTTCACCAGTGAAGCCATCCGGACCTAGGCTTTCTTTGTAGGAAGTTTTTTTTTTTTTTTTTTTTAAATACTAATTCAGTCTCTTTACTTATTATGGGTCTATTTGTATTTTCTATTTCTTCTTGAATCAGTTTGATTAGTTTGCGTCTTTCTAGAAATGTGTCTGCTTCGTCTCAACTACCTAATTTGCCTCCGTACAGTTGTTCATAGCATTCCTTTATAATTTTTTTTGTATTTCTACAGGGTTGGTTGTCATGTTCTCTGATTTCTCATTTTAGTAATTTAAGTCGTTTTTCTCTTTTTTAGAGTCAGTCTAACTGAAAGTTTGTCAGTTTTGAGGAACCAACTTTGGGTTTTGACTTTTTTCTATTGTGATTCTGTTCTCTGTTTCATCGATTTCCACATGAATTCTATGCTTTCATTTATTACCATCAGTTTTTAGCTTTGTAATTTTGTGGGTTCAGAGCTCTACTTCTTAGAATATGGGTAAAGAGGAACAGCTGTGGGAGTTATTCTTGTTTGGAGGTTCCCTTCTTACCAAGGCAGGACTCTGACCCATCCACATTGGCAGAAAGTACATTCTCACCATTCAGTTATGCCGGTTTGGAGGTGTGAAGGGGAATCTGTAGATAATGCAGAAACCTCGTTTTGGCTAACAGTCTCCTTCCCCACAGTCTCTTATGATAAGTATAGTAAGTGTCAAGCAAAATTTAGATGGCAGAGATCCTTCTAGCTCCAGAAAACCACAAAGACCATTCAGAAGAGTTGGTTGTAATGGAACATAACTGAAAGACAAGCCCTGCCAGGAAGCTCCACCCCTGGTCACGGAGACCTGAGCATGAAATGCATACAGGATGCTCACTCTGCCCATCTTGAATTTGAAAGGAAATACAATGTAGAAAATCCTGGATGGAATGAAAAGAGGGATCACCTGTCATAGGCTTCCTTGCTTTTTTTCTTCTGGGTGTTTCTGTGAAGAATTGTATCAGCTTTTGTTTACTTATTTTTTAGAGTAAGCTTTTTTGGATACACACCATACATAGAGAAAAATAAATCAAAAGTATGAAACTTGATGAACTTCCACCAAGTTAGCATATCCATGTAAGTAGCATCTGGTCAGGAATGGACACTACTGGAGCCCTACACGCCCTCCCATGGCCTCTCCCAGTCACCACCCCCATCCAGGGCAGCCCTCTCCTGACTTCTGTCGCAATCATTAGTCTGGCCCCTTTTTGAAATTTATATACGTGGAATCATACAATATGCACTCTCTAATGTTTAACTTCTTTTGTCTAACTTTATATTTGAACTATTCACCCATACTTTTTCATGTAGGAGTGTTTTTCATTGCTGCGAGGTGTTTCATTTTATGACTGTCCTCCAGGATATTGATCCATTCTGCTTGTGTTGTGAGTTGTTTCCCATGAGGGGCTAATAGGAACAGGGCTTCTGTGAAGAGTCTTGTACATGTTTCTTTTTTCCCCCTGCATCTACATGTTTCTTAATGTGTGAGAGTGTGTGTGTGTGTATATGTGTGTGTGTGTGTGTATGTGTATGTGTGTGTATGTGTGTGTGTATATGTGTGTGTGTATGTGTGTGTATATATGTGTGTGTGTGTATATGTGTGTATGTGTGTGTATATATGTGTGTATGTGTGTGTGTGTATATATGTGTGTGTGTATGTGTGTGTGTATGTGTATATGTGTGTGTGTGTGTGTGTGTATGTGTGTGTGTGTGTATGTGTGTGTGTGTGTTTCAGTCAGTCAGGTATACTTTTTTTTTCATTGTATTTCCTCTTGTAAGAAGCATTGAGGTAGTTTCAATAATTAAATGCACATTAGACTAGATAGTTAACACAAAGTAAAGCAGAAGATTAAAAACAGCTATTGTGGATACTGGTTAATATTGGATAATATTGCCAAGAAATAGATGATGAAAAGATTCATTGAGTGCTAGTGAGTACCAGGCATTGTCTAAACTCCTTTGTAGGTCTAGGAGGAAAAGGTGATTATCATGGAATACTGAATGTAGATCTGAACCTCTTGGTTGCCAGGAGTTTTTGGTAAGGATGGGGAGGCTGTTTAAAATGGAAAATGCGGAGGGGGGTCTCGGCTGGGGAGGGCTGGACAGCCTGAGCCAGGCACTGGCCAGGCCCTTCCCTGGACACAATACATCCTCAAGAGCTTGCAAAAATAAATAAATAAAATAAAATAAAATGGAAAGCAAAGGGATGTTGAAGGGTCAGGATAACTTCTTGATGGCCGAACCGAAGCTGTGTAAACGGCCAGCGGCACTGCTGGCTGCTGTCGTCTCCCTGCCTCTGGTGCACACAGCTCACCTTGGAGTCGTGGAGAGGCCCATCCTCTCAGCAGGAACATGGAAGCACTTGTGCAAGGTGATGTTCTAGGTGGGATTCACCTGACCCACTCAGCAGAGTGTAGCCCAGTGGACCTGCACTGGTCTACATGAGGGACCCTTCTTTCTTTGTCATGCAGAGATTTTTGACCTATATGGATTGACACGAAAGAGAAGCGTGGTGAGGCCTCAATAGTCCTTGCATCAGACTAGCCAATCCTTAATAATCAAGATGCGCTCTTAATTTTCAATTTAAGTCCTATTCCTTTCTTGGTAGCCATTTATCCACATAAACCTGGGATCGACAGTAGATTCTGCCTTGGCATGCTTGCAGACAGTGTGACTTGGGTTCGGGGTGGGACTTCATCTTGGCCTCCATGCCTCGGCTCTTATCTGGCTGGCTGTGGTTCAGAGGCTGTGTTTCTCCTGGAATTTCCTGGTAGTATCTCAGCCAGACATACTAACATTATAAAGGAACCATTACTAGACCTTAGAGTTGATGTTGTCATTATTTACAAATCAACTTTCTCATGGGTTGGCAGTGTTCAAGGCCCTCCCTGCACCTAAATGTAGAGTTTTAGGGGGTGCCAGTGACCTTTAGACATTAACTTGTCATTAGTTATATAATGGCTAACGATGACAGAGAGATGAAATGCAGTTGGGTAAAGTTGGATTAATGTCTTTCGCATGATTGTTTCTACAATTACAGTAAAGTTTCTACGTATGGGAGGAAATTTTTAAGAAAAAGCTATTATGTAGGAGCCCTGGCAAGATGATGATTACTACTTATACCTGAGAATTCTCGCCCTTATTCCCTATGTCTTCTGTAGAATCAGAAAATCAGTTGGTAAATTCATCCAAAGTAAGAAAATGGGCAGTTTGCCTAAAGGTCACCCAGTGAGTTGGTGACATGGCTAGGGCGAAAACGCACCCTCCCATTCTCAGCGCAGCAGCCTCCTTTGCCAGGCCGCCAGTTCTTGGGAGCTTGTCCTCATGCCTGCTGAGCCCTGTTTTCTCCTTGTCCCCTTTTGTCCCCCACCTTCCCCTTCACGCAACTTCCTCTGGATCTAGGGCCCCAGTTTTCCCACTCTTCAAGGCTGAGGCCTGGGTACCCCAGTATCTCCCCCTGAGGCTCGTGAGCCCCAAAGAGGAGAAGGCCACAAAAGGAAGTCCCCAACAGTTGTGACCATTCACCCTGAGCTCCATCCACGCTTCCCTGGGCAAACGAGGGAAGGAATTGGCTGGAAATGGGTCTAGAGAGTTCATAATGATTGAGAGGGAGCCTTCCAGTGTGTAGTTGTTTAGGTCTGTCTCTTAAAACTACCTTTTCGGCCGGGCGCGGTGGCTCAAGCCTGTAATCCCAGCACTTTGGGAGGCCGAGGCGGGCGGATCACGAGGTCAGGAGATCGAGACCATCCTGGCTAACACGGTGAAACCCCGTCTCTACTAAAAATACAAAAAACTAGCCGGGCGCGGTGGCGGGCGCCTGTAGTCCCAGCTACTCGGGAGGCTGAGGCAGGAGAATGGCGTAAACCCGGGAGGCGGAGCTTGCAGTGAGCTGAGATCCGGCCACTGCACTCCAGCCTGGGTGACAGAGCAAGACTCCGTCTCAAAAAAAAAAAAAAACTACCTTTTCGCCCCCCACTTCTTCTGCTGGCCTTGGGAGGCTTGCAGTGCTCCTGAGTACCCACCTTGCCTGCCACAAATAGGGAAGTTAGAGGAAGTGGAGCTGGATTCGGTTCATGTGCCACTTGTTAGCAACTATGGTAAAAATAACACAAACTAGCATTTAAGCAGGCTGGATGGCTCAACCAGAATCTGGAGATTAGCCATGGACTGAATTGACTGCTGTGAAGTCACAATTAGCATAGGCTCTCTCTCTTTTCAATTGGTCTGGACAATGCAGAACTGGCTAGCCATGAACAAAAAAAATGATTCACGTTACTGCTTGATTTGCAAGATCCCAGTTGCATGTAAGCACAAGCCAGGATATCAGGAAATGATGACTGGGCATGGGTGTGTGCATACACACACACACACACACACACACACACACACACACACACACACACAATGGTTCACATTACTGTTTTATTTGCAAGGTCCCAATTGCATGTAAGCACAAGCCAGGATATCAGGAAATGATTGTTGGGCACCAGTGTGCATGTATAAGCGCACATGCACGTGTGCGCGCACACACACACACAACATACTGAGGTGATTGTTTGGGAGACACTTAATTCAGAGCCTTTAGGCTCTATTTCAGAATCTAAGGGGAAAGAACTGTCCCGTCTGAAAAACCCAGATCATCTCAAGCTGACTTCTGAAGCAAGTCACTGCATATCCCCGAATCTTGCTCCTCATTCTCAGGCCAGCCTTTTCATAAAATTTTAGCCTCAGAAGAGCGATAGAAACCATCCTGCAGGTGGCTTCCTTACCTCTGGCGGTGTCAGCATTGTAATGAGAATGCCAGGCACTGTGTTTCTTCTATCTTGCTCTTTGTCATCCTAAGATGCAGTACAAAAATTGCCAGCACTTCGAAGAAAACAAATGTTTATAATTAGGTGAAAAATCCTTTTTTTTTTTTTCCTTTTATTGGGGGGGGGAATCCCTTCAATTAAATGATTGTAATATTATCCCTGAGAAGACATAAACTTAGTCATTTTTAGTCATCTTCCAAATATCTAGGAGTTTTTTTAAACCAAGTTCATTTTTATTTATTATATACTCTTCTTCCATTTCATGAAAAAATATTGAGTTTGACCCAATTGGTGATAACATTCAGAATTCTGCCCAAAGGATTCTAGAGCTTTAGAACAGGAGAAAAAGTGCTGCAAATGCTCACAACACAGAAAATAGGCTATAGAGAATACAGATCGGGGTTCTGCTGGGTTTTTATTATTCTCTAATCCTGAGCAACGTTGAGCTTAAAAAGCTCTTTCTTTTAATCCAAGATTTAAGAGTTCGGCCAAATTCCGTAAAACAGATTAATAAGAGCTCTTGCATGCTACCCTATAATAAAACTTATGTGTCTAAGTAAGATAGCTCACTAAATTCTTACAGTATTAGAGAAATTATTCAAACTCTAAAATTGCTTCTAATCTCTTATTTCATCTAAATAACAGTATGAGATATGCCAGTTAGCAGGTAAGAGGTAAGAAGAGTACTGTTAAGTGAAATGCCTGCAGTTTATACCTCTGTAACGGGTTTAGGAGAAAGCTTGTATTATTTAGATAATGTCAATTTATTGAAATCTAAAATTCTGCCTCTGTAATATGTACATATGTTATTTGGGCTTTTAACTTGGTTTTTACAGCTTTACTTTACCCTTCTGCCTACCACTAAAATGCATAGCTAAAATGTATGAATTCCATAGATTACCATAGAAATAGGCAAATTAATTCAAGTGTCCAAATTATACAGTATTTTTCATGGGCATTATATAAAATCCTGGAAGCTTTTAGTGTTCAGTTCTGCTTGTATTTGTGTGTTTTGTGTTATTTTGAAACTGCCATATATCAAAGTCAGTTTTCTTTCTGCAGCATTTTTTGTCCTCAAGAAAATACGGAAGAAGCCCTGCTGTTACTGCTGATTAGCGAATCAATGGTACGTGGAATGTGTTTTTACATCGTTCTTTCCCCGGCCTTGTAGTTTCTTCTTTGACACAGCCATTCTGCCAGTATGACGACTCTTTTTCTTGGAGAAAATACTTTCTAGAGGGTATACGTGGATGGGAAAAAACAGTAGAGGTTTAAAATGAGGGTCTTAATTCCTGGACCAGCGAGCAATGTCCCTTGGTTAGCCTGGAGCTTGGAGCTTCTCTATCTTCTATCTTGAAGCAGGTATCTTAGTTCATTCATTTATCCACCCAGTATTGGCTGAACATTAATGCAATTGTATCCAGGTAAACCACAGCTAAAATGACCACCGGAGGAATCTTAAAAGGAGAAAGAGGCCCCCAAAGGGTGACCTTTATAAGCCTCTCAATTTGCCCTGGAGTGGGGGAGAATTTGGGGATAAGTCATTTGTTGGTTCTATGAACCTCTGGTTTTCACAGCAGGAACTTGATGAAACTCTCATCCTCCTGCCCTGGTTGTCTCTCCCAGCTCCCAGCTGTCACCAGACACTGTAAAGTCCCAGGCCGTGAGAACTCACTTCTCTTCCCTGTCACTGCTATTGTGAGGGAGGTTTTGCCAGACCCTCTGATTGCTTTGAAACATTTTCTTAGTATTTGGCCAGGATATCGAATTTTAGGTCTATTTCACCACTCATCATTTATTGGGTTTCTGTCCTGTGTATCTATCACTAGGCATTGTGGCCCTAGCTTGAAACCTTCAGGATCATGTGTGTTATAATGGCGAATTCCTCAGCAGAATAGTGATGTGTACTGAGGACCTGAGCAGAATGGGCGGGCTCCTGGAATCAAAAGATCTTGAGGGCTCACATCCCCTTCCCTCATTTTACACATGAGGAACCCGAGGCCCAGAGCAGGCAGAATGCGTGCATCACGCAGTGGTCTCCTGTTCCTGCTAGGAGACTGTACTGCCCCCTCCCCATAGCTGTCACTGCTTACCCCCAACCCCTGGGGCAGCCCAGGGGAGAAAAGGGAATCGTAACTAAAGCAAGAGAAGGCATTTCCCTTCTTGCCGTCCCCACACATACTGTTTAATGGGAGGTATAAAATGGACTCAGGTGAGTATAGACATGGGGTCTGAGCATAATAACATACATGCAGAGAGAAGGAGGGATCAGAAGAGGCCAGAACTCATGAGAGGGCAGCTCTCTTGCCTTTGATTAAAACTTTGAATGGCGGCTGGGCGCGGTGTCTCAAGCCTGTAATCCCAGCACTTTGGGAGGTCGAGATGGGCGGATCACGAGGTCAGGAGATCCAGACCATCCTGGCTAACATGGTGAAACCCCGTCTCTACTAAAAAAAATACAAAAAACTAGCCGGGCGAGGTGGCGGGCGCCTGTAGTCCCAGCTACTCGGGAGGCTGAGGCAGGAGAATGGCGTGAACCTGGCAGGCAGAGCTTGCAGTGAGCTGAGATCTGGCCACTGCACTCCAGCCTGGGCGACAGAGCAAGACTCCGTCTCAAAAAAAAAAAAAAAAACAAAAAAAAAACCACTTTGAATGGCCCACCGATGTTGACAAGAGCAAGCCTGCGTGAGTTACCACCTCTTTTGACTTGGAGGCTGTTTGGTGTCATTGGGCTTACTTCCTCTCAAGGAAGCAGGGTTGCCCGATAGTCAGCTGGTAACTTAGGATGGTGTCATTTACATTCTCTGCTTGCCTTGGTGCAATCAGGGAAGCACATAGGTGAGCAGGCTGGCACATGGTGGCATTCAAGTGAACAAGTCTCCCCAGGCTTCCCCACCGGGGCATCCATGGAGCCAGCTCACCTTGGCCTCCTGGTCAGCATTCCCTCATCCCAAGCTGGGTCCTTGGCAGGTAGTTAGTTCCCTTTGGGCAAACTTGGTTGGTTATGGTGTACACGTTCTGAAAGCATGGTGACTATACATTTTAGATTACCTGGACAATTCTGATTGAAAATATTATGTTCCATTGTCAGATGATATGTTCCAGTCTGCAATTTGGAAAACATGGCCACCTCTCTAAAACGCTTGCACTAAGTGGAGATGTCTGTGGAATGATGTCTCCAGCTCTCCTGCTTCTTAATTGAAGTGATAGAAACTAATAATACTCAAACATTGAGATCCCTTTGAGACAGTCAGAGTTGGCTCTGTGGTATGTAATTTCCAGAAAAATCTCTTCAGGGGATGTTGAAATCCAGTGATGTCATCAGTGGGTATGAAGGACAAGGTTTCTAACCCAAATGATTATGTTCTCCCTATAAATCATTTCAGAAAATGTAGGTAGAAATCTAAATGAAGTTGCTTTTGGAAGCCTTTTTTCCATGTCCTTTGACTTCTCGATTTTTTGGTTTTTAGACAGAAAATGAATGTGCTCAATTTCAAAACCAAAATGAAAATTTGTGGTTTTTGGATGTCAGAAAATTGTGTTCTCTGTTGGTTCTGACTTTAATTCAGAAGCATGAATTTGTCCATAGCTTCTCCACCTACAAGATGTCATTTAGAATTGTGCTATTTTCTAACCACAAAGCAAATTAGTTTCCCCTAGGAGAATGGGATTATAAGAACTTGATTTGCAGAACTACCACTGAGGCAATATTCTGGGATATTTATTATTTGTGGGTCTGTTTGAGGTTCTGTATTGTACCTTTTTAGTCAAAAGATACTGATACTTTCTCTAAAAATGAAAAGAATGCATTTGGTATAACTTGAAAACCTTTCATAAATAGTATGTTTGTTTTGCTCTCTTCCAGGCATTGGTCTCAGTATAGAATATGTATAGCAAATAAATAAAATGAGACCATTTGCAACAGGCCCTGTTTCCTTCAGAGCTGCTTTTTTTGGGGGCTCAAGAGGGACTCCTAACAAGAAAAACTTAGAATGAAATCTTCAAAAGCAGGCTTGTTTCCGTCAGAGATGACTCACTTTGTAGGAAGTGGCCTGTCTTATATATTCTTATTTGTCTTTGACATTTAAGAGCAAGGAGTTTTAAAGTGAGTAAGTACTGATGGGTGGCTAAAAGTAAATGCCTTGGACTCACACACAAAGAAAATGCATTTTGTCTCATTAGTGAGAGGGAAGGTGTGTGCGTGGCCTTTTTGAATGTCAGGAGGAAGATCAATGTCAGCATGCCGGGACAAGTGACCCTGGAACCTCATGTACCACTTTCACAGGAAAGACTGGGGGCGGGCCTGTCTCTGCTCCCAAGGACAGGTGGATCTGCAGACTGTTAATTAGCAGGGGGAAAAGGGCAGGTGAAATCGAAATCTAACTTTGTTGATTCTGAACTTCCTATTAGGGAAAAAGGGAAAATGAGCTAGCTATTGAGTCTCATACATGTGATATATTTAGAGGAATCTGTAGAGAAATTAAATTTTAGAAGTAATGGAAACAAGTTGCTGTAAAGAGCATTTGATTTCTGGATAGATGAGATTAATAAGTTTGAATGTGCCTGATGTATTTCTGTGCTAAGCTTAGAAAATTGTTCTCTTGAGTCCTCTGTGTTAATATCTTTTAAAGGAAAAATCTGCTTTCTTCTTGTTTTCTCTTATATATCTGTGTTGTGCTTCCCTAAACAAGATTGAATTCGTCTTTGTGTTCTGTTCCAGTGAAGATGTCATATAGGGATTTGAATATTGCTTGGTGATAGAGGAAAAGTAAGATAGATCTCTGTAGGACTCATGGAACTTGATGACACAATTGGGTGTTGGGAAATGCAGGGCTGGGAATTTTCTCCCCCTCTTTAATGTAGAGCAGAAGCAGGATTCGCGAGTGAGGCGCAGCAGGGCCTCACTTGATGGATGATTCGGCTGCTCCAGAGCGCAGCTGCATCTTCCACGAGGCTGGCTGTGAACCCGAGCCCAGGGAAAACTTTGTATCGGCTGCCAAGGCTTCCTCCAAATGCCTGCCGACAGGTACAGGTGCCCTCTAGGTTCACAATTCTAGGACTTTAGTGTTTGGATCATCCCATATATCATGTTCTGCAGTGCCCAGGGGATTTTGAATAAATAACCCAAGGTGACAGGCCTCTGCTCATTCCTACCCTTGTCTCCATTCCCTTGGCAAATCGGTAGGGGCAGGAGGGCCTAGGTGGCCTCCCCACCATGCAGCACTAGGCTCTTTCTCCATCTGCTTCTCTTGTGTTTTTTCAGGCCAACCGGGATGCTGTGCTGAGCAGGATACCTGAACACAAGAGTGACCGCCTCATCAGTCTACAGAGTGCGTCTGTGGTCTATGACTTACTCACCATTGCTCTTGGAAGAAGAGGCCAGTATGAGATGCTGTCAGAGGTACAGCCGCTGAGTCTGGTTGACATCCAGGTGGTGGGTGACAGTTGCATGGTGACCCCAGGGAAGGGTTGTGAGACCTGGACCTGGGCCCCCCTCTATTACTGGCAGCCATGTGATCTTGGGCCAGTCACTTAACTTTGGTTTTCTCCCCTGTAGAATGGGCGTTGGGCTAAATGATTAGGTGGTGGAATTGATCTAGTCTTTTACCATGAGGGTTCCATAACCCACTGGGCTGTGAGTTTGTGTGTGAGGGAAGGCAAACATTTCTCAAGCAGTTTCTCTTTCAGTTAATTTCCACCAACTGAAAATCTCCCATCTGTGATATTAGTTTCCTCATAGAACAGGTTTGGTTTAAAGTATCAGTGTGACCAGTGAAATTGCCAGTGGCCTGACAATTTCAGGCACAGTGTGTTATGTTAGCTGGCATAGATCGTTTCATATAAAGGAGACAGTCTTCTTTCAGAGTCTTTTGCTTGTTCAGAAGGGACCCTCGTGGATTTCAGATCTTGTACAAGGTACTGTCATGTTCTCACTCCCTCAGTGTCTAAGAAACGCTTAGGATGGAGGCTTGACTCTTTCACAGTTTCAGGAGAAGCTGGTTCGTCTTGGGCTGTGGTTATGCATTATTAGGTTCCTGCCCAAAATATCAGATTCTACCATGGTAAGGCTAAATAAATAACAAGAAGATCATTTTATCTTTTCTTTAGCAAAATAGAGAGAAAAAAAAATCCCTATTTTGTTAAAAGGAACTTTTCCATGTTATTTATCTTTCTCTTTCTAAATTTATACCCATTGCAACAGCCTCTGGGCACGAGGACAGGGAATGAAATACAGTAACAGATTGGCTGAAATCAGATAAGTGCCCGACTCACCCTCCAGCCTGCCAGTGCATCGCCACATTAGGCAGGAACCTTGGGGAAACAGATGAGCCTGCGTGGCTTGAATCTTTTTTTAGTCCATGGTTTGGTGACTCTACAGGGCAGTGGTTACTCAGCCTCACAATCCGACCTGACAAAGCAGTGTGTGCAGATGCCCCCACCACACGCAGCTCAGCCCTGGGGCTCGGTCCAGGCTTGGAATTGGCCCAGGTTGTTCATCCCTAAATGGATTGAACCTCTGCCGGTACCTTGATTTCCTGGGCCCCCCTTCTCCCCACCACCTAAGTTGCTGTCAGCTGTGTCCACCACAAAGTCTGTCACTGGGGACCATGCCACCGAGCTCACAGTTGAATTCCTTTAAGGTGAGTTTGTTCCTCCAGACAAAACACATATCACCTCTCTAGGTCCAAGGATGACAGTGGTACGCACACATCTACTTCCGTCCCATTGGGTAGCAATGTTGCCTTTCCCCGGCTCGAAATCTCCTAGGTCCGAAACAGGAGTGAGGAGCTTGAGGTGTCTGGCCCTGTTGACTGGCTGGGTGGTCTCTGTCCCTGGCTTCCCATTTTTCCATGAATGCTCTAGGGGGTGGTCATCACCCTCATGGATTCCTCTGCAAGCTGCGGCTCTGGAGCCTGTGCCTGCTCCTGCCATAGAATACTAGGACCTTGTTTTCACCCAGATGACTTCTGTCTTGATATCATATGTAGCTCCCATCTCGTGGTGGTGACCTGCCTCCCAGACGACTGGGTATGTGGTCGCGGGAGCCTTTGCGAGTCAGAACTTCACCCCCCTAGTCACATTGCAAATGGTGGTGCAGGCCAAAGGTTGCCTCGGAGAAGCCGGAGTAGGAGGGTGGAAGAAAGGCAAATTTAGTACTGTATATCCCTGAAACCTTTTGAATTTTGTACCATATCTGTGTTTTATCTAGTAAAAATCTCAACCAACTGATAAAATATATGAAATGAAGGATGTTTATTTCTTCAGCACATATATGTACTGTCACCTCTTCTGTGCCAGAGGCTCTGATTAAGGCCAGGGATACAGCCAGGAGCAAGGTGTGACCCCTACCCACAAGCTGCCCCCAGCCTGGAGCTGCCAGGTGTGACAAGCAGCTGCGGCCCATGTGCTGATGGGGGCGGGCCCAGCACAAGCTCTGCGTGCCTTATCTAGGGGTTGGATATTTGGCTTCAGCCTTGCCTGTGCCAACCACTTAGGCAATTGGAGCGAGCATTCGACAACTGTGTTGTCTCAGATCAACCGACTAAAACGGTAGATGTCGTAGGAAAAAGGTGAAAGCTCACAGCATCTCAAGGCTGCCTGGCCCATGGTTGGATAGCTCAGTTACTGAAGATAGGGGTTAGGTCCACCCTTTGCTGAGTGTGGACCCTCTCTCCCTCTGTCCGAGGCCACATCCTACTCTGGGTGTCCCACTTGTCTTATTGCCTCATTTACTGGGGTTTTTCTGAATCCATTTTTTTTCCCCCTCCTCATCTGCCTTTCCATTTTCTCAGGACTTTAAGTTAAAAGGATAACTGGCTTTTTTTTTTTTTTAATTGAAGTACAATTCACATAACAAACTTAACCATTTTAAAGTGTAGAATTCAGTGGCATTTAGTACGTTCATACCACTTAGTACATGCACATTTAGTACGTGCAGCCATCACCTCAAATTGCAAAACCTTTTCCTCACCCTGTAAGAAACCCTATACCCATTAAGCAGCCACTCCCCGTTCCTCACTCCCTCCAAGTCCCTGTCAACTACTCATCTGCTTTTTTTCTCTATGGATACTGATTGGGGGTATTTCATATAAATATAAATAGCCAATATTTGGGCTTTGGTGTCTGGCTTCTTTCACATAGCATAATGTTTTCAAGGTTATCCACATTGTAACATGGATTAATATTTCTTTTTATGGCTGAATAGTATTCCATTGTGTAGATCTACCACAATTTGTTTTTCCATTCATTAGCTGATGGAATTGTGGCTGTTTCCACCTTTTGGCTACTATGAACAGTGTTGCTGTCAGGATAACTGGATTTTAAACTTCCTATATTACCTTTCTCTGAGCTCCATAAATGTTAGCAATTATCGTTATTATCATTTGTCTTAGAGGTATGTTATATTTCCCTGTCTTCATTTCCTCCACTGTCAGCAGAGCAATCTTTCTGAGACACAGGAATAGACATGCCACCCTTCTGTTCACAAATATTCCACAGACCCTCTCTCTTTCTTTTTTCTCTTGTTTTCTTTTCCTTTCCACCCATAATGAAATTGACTTCATTGTTTATCTTTCTGCCGTATGCAATAGTCCTGCATGCTCCTTGGAGAATCCAACAATACGTAGAAAATATAGAAAAGGAAAGAAAAGTGCCTTGGAATCCAGCTGTCCTGAGATAGTTGACTACTCATTGACATTTTAGAGGCGAACTTTACATCTGTCTTTATGAATAAATGTGTGCATTATGTAAGTTTTGTTGAATGGGACAGTATCTTACACATTTTACTGTGGATATCCCCTATCTCTCTTCTTTGCTTCATTGGCACCTCACCCATCTCTGCCTCCTCAACCCCAAACTCAGGTCATCAACATAGTGTGTCACAGGCTCTAGAGTTAGAGAGCTTTGGTTTGAGTTCTGGGTCTGCTCTGTACCAGTCATGTGAGCCTAGGCATGTCACTAACCTCCTATGCATCAGTTTATTTTCCTGTTAAATAGGGGTAATAATTGTGTGAATGTATATCTCAGACAGTTGGGAGATGCATATTCATTAATCCATGTAAAGTACTCAGAACAGAGCCTAGCACTTAGAGCTCGGTAAGTGGCAACTGTACACTGCTGCTCCTGCAGTTACTACCATTGTATACACAGGAATTACTAGGCACAGGGGGAGCAACAAAGGATACAGAAAGATCTTTTGCCTTCAAGAAATTTCCACTCTAGTTAGGGAGACCACATGGAAACAAACAAAAAGATAATCAAATTAGAGAATACGTAGTAGTGCAAAGCATGTTAATTGGCAGGTGAATGGAATAGGCCAATTGCAGCCAAGTTTATAGGTTGGGAGTGCCAGTAAGAGATTATGAACAGTGGATATATGAATTGGCTCTTCAAGGCCTGATAGGCATTAAGTGGTCTAGGAGGAGAGAGACCTTCTTCATCCTTAAGCTCACAGAGCTGTGAAGGCACTGGACCTGAGGGAACGGGAACCCAGGGCTTGCTCTCATGGAGAAGTGGGAGGAGAGGAGCTTGGAAAGAAAGTGTGGGGCCTGATTGTCAGCACCACAACCTATTGGCAGACTTTACGTGTGCCCCTTGCAGATGCGATCTAGATATATCACCCTGTGGCTCATCTGTGAGCAAGTCCTCTTTGCCTCAGAAACGTTGCTAGATCTTCTTTTACATGGGTGGAAGCTTTTGTGGACAGAAGAGTTCATAAAACCATCAGTCAATTGTGAGAGAGAGAAGAGGTCTTACCTCCTTCTCACCCTGTCCTTGTGCTTTCCTTCCTTCTCTTGTCCCCAACCAGCATTAACACTTACACATCCGGGCACAGCATGTCTTCCTGCTTCTTGGCTCCTCTCCTTGGCTGACCTGGGCCCACGGGCACCACAGAGGGTGGGGGCGCCTCTACTGCCACTGCCAGCCCGTGTTCCTCTCTCCTGTCCTTGGCACCCTTGTGCAGTGGGTGTGTCGCGCAGCATTGTGCAGACCCAGCCTTTTAATAACTGTGCTCACAGGGCTAAGCGGGAGCAGAGCCTCTCTTTCCCAAGGAAGCCGGCCTTTCTCTTTTGCTTATTCAAGATGGAAGGCCGCTCTCCCATCTCGAGACCGGCTGCCTTTGTGTGCACCTACATCATCGTGCCTTTCTTTCCTTGTGGACTCTTCAGCCAGATGCTGGCCAAAGAGCATTGTACAAAGGAGACCCAGGCCAAAGGTTTATCATATCCTCATTCTGACAGGTTTAAATAGAAGCACAATGTTTACCATATCTCCAGTGCTGTGAGTTTTCGTGTTTTTAAAGACTAATTGTGAGCCCTGCTGAAAGGTTTGTGTAGGAAGGAACACTTCTTTTTTTCCTCTTCGTTTTAAACAGCAGCACTAGTTGGCATGACAACCTGC